GGTTGCTAGGTTATACTCGCTGGGCGTAACCTCCTTGGTTTTGGAAAGGTTTAGCGAGCGTTGGGCCGCAGTGCCATATGGATACAGTGAACTTGTCAGCATGCCAGTGGGCTTGGCAGCATGTCAGCAACGCCTCACGCTCACGCGATCCGCTTGCCTTTCGTGCAGTCACTCACCCTGATGTGCCTGCTGATATCCTTCCATGGGCCGCCCTGCGTAGCCGATGGAGATCCGATGTTCGTGGGCCACCAGCTGCTGCATCCTTCAACTACGACAGTCTTCGTTCAACGAGATCCTGGCTCCGAAAACGAGCGGCGTGTGCATGATGATCTTCGCAGGCACACCCCTGCCTACGTCATCGCTCAGCTGCCTCATGCCATTTCCTTCTGTGGATGCTTCACCGCTACGTCGACCACTCTGACGTCACAGCAGCACTATATAAGGCCTGACAAAACGTCACCTGCTTCCAGTGGGCTTGGCAGCATGTCAGCAACGCCTCACGCTCACGCGATCCGCTTGCCTTTCGTGCAGGTAACATGTTCATATTCTCTCTTCACCCGCCGTACCCGATACATGGCATTAGTCGTGCTGCCAAGCCCACGGTGTTGCATTGCCATGATTTGTGAGTGTACTCATGTTATTCTTAACCTCTTGCTTCTAGCAGGCGATATTGAGGAAAACCTCGGTCCCAACACTCGATCCGCTTCATCACAGCCATCTGATGACATAATGTCAGTGCTGAGCGCAATTCAGAGCGGACAAGCAACACTCTTAGATGAAATGAAATCAATCCACTTAAAATTATCAGAAAATGACAAAGCTCTCGACGATATAAAGAAAAGACTAGGGGAAATAGAGGGCGTTTGTTCTTCGATCGCCTTAGTCAAAGAACAAATCCATGAAGTTCGAGGCATGGCAGAGCAGAGCACCAAGATGTTTGCAAATTTGGCTACCAGACTAGACGACTCCGAAGATAGGGCTAGACGCTTAAATCTAGTGTTCTTTGGGCTAAAAGACAATGAACATGAAACATGGGAGCAATCGGAGAAGTTAATAATCGATTTCTGCAGCGCGAGCCTTGAAACTTCTCTGCAACCAAGAGACATAGAGCGCGCTCACAGAATTGGCCGCTTTCGACCAAATAACAATCGACCCATTATTGTCCGATTTTTCCATTTCAAAGATAAGGAGGGCGTATTATCAAGAAGCGCGCGACTTCAAGGGCACCAACTACAGGATTACAGCAGATTTCTCGCCAGCTACTCGCCTTGCCCGCAAAAAGCTAGTCGAATTCGGTAGAACTCAACGCAAGCCTTTCAAGCTCCGTTATGATAAACTTATACTCGATAACACTACTTACCTTTTTGATTCTACTGAGCAGAAGGTCATTCGACAGCCACGGTAGCAATCACATGACTCTTCTCAGCGAGAATTTCCACGCACAGCTCTGTCTTTCGTATATACGAACATAAGAAGTATCCTGCCCAAACGCGACTCACTTTCACACAACAGATACCACTGACTGCAATTTTATAGTTCTAACCGAAACTTGGCTAAATTCATCCATTTCCAACACCGAACTACAGTGCTGTTTCCCTGATTTTGTAATTTTTCGGCGCGACCGAGAAAATAAACGTGGTGGTGGTGTCATGATGGCCGCCCATAACAGTGTTCAGTGCCCCATAGTTGATGTACCCTCTCCCTTAGAAATCTTTTTTGTGCATTGCCAAGCTTCTAATCCACCTGTTGTAATCGGAGTGTGTTACCGCCCACCTGAAGCCGATACGTCTTTCACAAAACATTTTCATGATGTCATTTATTCTGTCACAACTGCATTTCCAAACGCCCCACTTATTTTATTTGGTGACTTCAATTTCCCCGGAATAACATGGTCAAATGTAGCACTAACTGCATCAAAACACAGCGCTGAAAGTGACTTCTTAAACTCTTGTTTAACATTCGGCTTATCACAACTTATCTCTAAACCTACTCGACAAACAGAACACTCCTCCAACATTCTAGACCTATTGCTTACGTCTCACCCTGATAATTTTAGTACAGTGTCATATTTATCTGCCATTAGCGATCACTCTGTTCTTCAGACAACCTTTCAGTGCTACTTACCTAATCCCAAGAAAATTAAGAGAACAATCACATTATACGATAAGGGCAACTACAGAGCTATAAACGATGAACTAACAGCTTTCTCTGAATCCTTTCTAACCGATTTTTTTATGCGCACTGTCGAAACAAACTGGCACCTATTTAAAACCAAACTACAGCACCTGATAAATGTTCACGTTCCCACCGTCACCTTAACCATAAGGTCAACGTTCCCATGGTTCAACGCCTCACTAAAACGTCTTAAAAATAAAAGAAGCGCCAGTTCCGCTCCGCTAAGCATTCAGACACCCAGTACGCGTGGGACAAATACAAGGCAACCGAAAAGCTTTTTCATTCTCTCGCAGCTAAAGCCAAGCGTTCTTTCTATTCTTCTACCTTACCTGATATGCTCCGAAAAAATCCTAAGCAATTTTGGAAAACAATAACCCATCATCTATTACCCCTTCATCGAACATTACACTACGCGACGAACAAAATGTTTCAATTCCTGAACACTACACTTCGCATGTATTAAATGAAACCTTCTGCTCTGTATTCACCATAGAACCTGACGGTGACCTTCCCCATGCCCTTCCTGTATGCCACCCGATCATGTCGAAAATCGTATTTCATGCCAATGGTATTTCCAAGATAATCGACTCGTTAAAGCTTACTTCATCAATGGGTATAGATGGCATTAACACAAAAATATTGAAGAACACTAAAATTGTAACAAGTGCGATTTTATCTAACATTTTTCAGCAATCACTCTCATCTGGAGTGGTGCCCCAAGACTGGAAGGTAGGCAAGGTCATTCCAATCCCAAAGAAAGGTAACTCGTATTCACCCAAAAACTATCGTCCCATTTCGCTCACAAGTATATGCTCTAAAATAATGGAACACGTAAGCTATTCCCACATAGTCAACTTTCTCGCACCTCTTCATTTCTTTCATAAAAACCAACATGGCTTTCAGAAAGGTGTTTCGTGTGACACTCAACTAGCTCTGTTTACTAATGACATTAGCTCTAGCATTGATGTAAATATACCAGTAGACGCGCTCTCTTTAGACTTCGAAAAAGCTTTTGACAAAGTTCCTCATAAACGCTTGTTCTTAAAACTTTCTTGTCTCAACCTTGACCCCTTATTTTTCAATTGGATTTGCGACTTTTTAACTAACCGCCAGCAGTTCGTCTACGCAAATAATCTTTCTTCGTCTTTACGCCCTGTCATTTCAGGCGTGCCTCAAGGCACGGTTCTAGGACCTTTGCTTTTTCTCATATATATTAACGACTTGCCGAATAATATTTCTTCTAACATCAGACTTTTCGCCGATGATTGTGTCATTTATCGCCCAAATAACAACACATCAGATGTTCATGAACTTCAATCTGACCTTCATAAAATTGAAATCTGGTGTACAACGTGGTTAATGTCCCTTAACGCAAACAAAACGTCACTAGTCTCTTTCCATCGCCGACAGTGCTACCCATATCCAGCATACTTCATTAACAACACTCAAATTTCATGCGTAACTACATACAAGTATCTAGGTGTCCATTTCTCTTCTGATTTAACATGGTCCCTTCACATAACGCACATTACTAACGAAGCAAACCGTGCTCTTGGCTGTCTGCGCCGAAACCTTCATTCAGCTCCTACCCCTGTCAAACTACTCGCTTATCAGACACTAATCAGACCAAAACTTGAATACGCATGCGCTGTTTGGGACCCTCATCAGAGTAACAATACTAAAACACTTGAAACAGTGCAAAGCCGGGCAGCAAGATTCATCTTTTCAGATTATTCATATCAGTCAAGCGTAACCGAACTTAAATCTCGTGCTAACCTCGCTACCCTTTCGTCACGCCGCTGTATAGCTCGTCTGTGCCTGTTTTTCAAGTTTTATCATGGATCGCCTCGTACTCCCACCATCAAGCCAGCCCATCGTCATTCAGACCGCATCAATCACAGGAAAGCTGTTTACCCGCCAAGAGCTCACACCACTGCGCACCTTTCATCCTTCTTTGTCAAGACCGCACAAGATTGGAATGGCCTTCCTCCTCACGTTGCGCACCACTCCAGTATCATCAACTTCAAAGCAGCGATCGAGCATCTACTCCTTTAACCGATTGTAATAGCCCACCCCTCATGTAAAACCCCTTCATTGGGGCCTTTGAGGTACTGTAAAGAAATAAATAATATAACTAGTCTATGCCATGAACTCGAGGTGGTTAAAGGTGGGAAGTAGACCCGAAGCGCAAGCCGTAAGAAAGTGTGCGTGTGCCACCTCTCGTTTAGTCCTTGGAATGTCCGCTGGATGGCGGTGCTTCTATATGGAGAATATATGATGAAAAGATGCGAAATGGTGGTACTTGGAGTGTTGAATAGATGGACGAACGTACACACAGACAGATGCATGGATGGACGCATGAACGGACGCAGGGACGGACGCACGAACAGACGCACGCACAGATGGGCGGATGGACACATGGACGGTCACACAGACGGACGCATGGACGGACGCAAGCAAGAACGAATGGACGGACAAATGCTTCTCCCCACTCTCCATCATTCACTCCGTGGATATGCTGCCAATGTTTTTTTTTCCACTTACATAATATCACATACTGCGTAATGCAATCTAGGGTTTTCCGTCCCGAAACCTTTATATTACAAGGGGCGCTTTAGCAGAGGGCAGCGAAAATTTTGATCGTCTGCTGTTCTTTAACGTGTGCTTGCATCGGACAGCATACGGTCCTCTACCGTTTCACCTCCATTGACATGCGACAACCGTGGTCAGGATAAAAACCACGACTTAAGACTCAGCAGGCAAGCCCCGCATCCACATACCACCGCAGCGCACCACATACCGAACTGGAAAAAAAAGGTCATAAATGCTTTCTTCAACGAGATAGGTGTGAGTGTTTTATTCACAAGAAAAGATAAACACAGCTTGCAGCTCATTTGTAAAAAAATTTGCAACCTAACACTCGAAACATGAAAGAAATCCAACAAGTGTCACATTCTTAAAGCAAGTTCGTCGCTGAACGAACACGCTACCCTCAAGAACGTTTTATTTGACCATACTCAAGCACACCACAAGCTGAAAGTTTAAAACCCTGCCTAATCCTTTACAACCTTTCCACTTGCCTACACATGTGGACAGTTGCCGATTTGCTTCCACCGCAACTCGGCAGGGCATACTTCGTTGAGTGAATGCACACACACTTCACTGACGCGCCTGCTCAGCTCAGACACTGGTGCAGTTGCTACCCCGAAAGCCTTACGCGTATACTCTCCCCTAATGGGTAACAATGTATGCATACTATATATCAGACAAAATATTCCATTACACAGGCTCACAATAAAGCTGAAAGCCTTTCACTTGTCAGAGTGCTTACCGGAACAACTCGTTCACTATGTCATGGTCGACACGCAACAGTGTAATATGGACCCATTTCTTGGACTTCCTACATATACGGGCTGGTCAAACAAAGGCGTTCGCCGATGCTCGTGGCCAATATTCTTATTCATCAAGTTATTGCAGGTTCCAAGAGGGCGCCATACAGTGGCGGTTCGAAGGAGATTCCCAATGCGTGCACATATTTGGCCTTATCTCTGGCTCCAAAATTTTAACATGTAACTGATCTTATGCGGCCTACCACAGGCTCACAAAATACAGAGACTTCGGGAGTGCCTTAAAAAATAATTAACACTCACGACCAAGTCTTCAGCAAGCTTTTGCTTTCTTGTCTTGAAAGTGACAATAAAATAAGCAAAGACGTTTGCGGAGGAGCCATTCAATCACTCGAATAAGCTTCTGAAATTTAAGAATTTCGCCAGAACGCTCTGTCGTCGTAGACAAGTAGAGCTCGATCGGTGAACGAAAACCAGGTGTCTTCGGAAGCTCCAGCTCTCTCCATCCGTACTAAGGCAGCAACTCGGTGACAGCTTACGGAGCATGCAGGAGATTTTAACATTTAGATTCCTACACATACACAAATTCCAGGAACTGTCTCTGTCCAACCACACCGTTACAAAATTGGTTACATATTCCGCGAAAGGAGCTTTGGCTTTACCAATGCAATTGAGATCAAACGAGAACGTTTAGTGCTATTCTAAACGTGAAGAATCCGCGCTTCGCCATTCCTCGGCTCAGTCCTCAGGCTTCAGGATTCAAGGCTGGTCACTGAACCCTCGGCCAAGGTCTCCAGTTTGTGCTGGATGAGCCGTGTTTCGAAGCGCCAGGAATCTGTTCCTTCGGAAGTGGTGGAAGCGGCCTAGGCCGCGAGCTGTCGCTTTCGATCGATCTATTATTCTGCTTGACATAGTCTAGCACAACTTGCAGAGAGCGCTCTTGATTCGCAAGACTCGATGACAGATTCGCTTCAACTCTCTTAACATCTCCCTTCAACATACTTTCCGAGTCTTTGAGCGCACTTACAATTTTCCTCAATTGAGAAGCATCATTGTTCCTCGCTTGTTCAACAAGTGCGTTCATTTGGCTCTGAACTGAGGACAGCTGATCACCGCAAGGATCTCTGATGAGGGCCTTCAACTCTTGAAGTCTGGTATTCAGTTGCTGAGTCATCTTTGAGCAGATGTTCGCCTCAATTTGTTCGATTCTGCGTTGAATACTATTCTCGAAGCTGCTGATTGCGCTGTTGATGGTATTTGAACTGGCTGAGAGTCCGGTTTGCCCATTAGGCTCTCTATAACTTGGACAACTGGCATTCAAGGGGCACCCTGCCTCATAGTGCGCAGCGATGTTTGTGCGCAATATACGTTGTTCGCAACGTTGACACTGGATGGCATGAAAGGTGCATTCCTTGTCGTAGTGCAGCACCAGAGCTTCAATGGGGCCTACGTACTTGCAGCCGTAGCCTTCATTCCAGCAGTGAGCCTGTAGTGCAAGAGAACAAGAGAAAAATTAGGACAAGGTGCGCGTTAGTGCCTCTAGCTGGTTCATTTACAGATGTGAACGCTGGTTGATAATGTGGCTGAGAAATAAGAATATTAGATCATCATGGTTACATGCTAATACGCCAACCTTCAAGACCAAATCCTTGGCGTCCACTGCACCCTCGAAAGGGTTACCTGTCGTTCCCCATGGGGAATGACTAGATGGCATGGGGTGGCCTTTGCGTCTACGCAGGACTATTTATAAATTATGTACTTTTTCTAATACTCGATATTGTTGAGTGATTGTGACTGCAAATACTGCCATCAAGCTAGTACAGACCAGAATGTTCAATGGCTAAACCTCTGCTCAGTAAAGTGTACTTTCACAACACAACCGAATTCCTTGCAGTACAAAGAATACGGTGAGTACACTAGTTGACAATCCAATTACTACCGAAACGCATGAGGTTTTGGAGATACGTTACACGTACGACGCCGAGATCTGCATGCGTGGGTCTTCAGCCTAATGAATGAGACGCTTCCTTTCGGAGTGCGGCGTCACTGGCACAGAACGCAGCACCACCAAGATCCTTTACGTATCTTCAACAGCCAGCAGTTTTAGGTTTCAATATTGCCTGTTCCTCCACCAGTATCCATCTTGGCTGACCTTCATGATCAGCAAGAAGAATAGTAATAAACAGCACGTTAATGCTGGCTATTCAATTGGATACTCTGCGTGGGAGTAAGGTATATGAACAATGAGCCACGTCAGTGCATGCAAGCTCCTGCTGAAAAATTGTGCACGCGGCTTGAGTATCGCACACACCTATGGAGAGTCGAGATGGGGGGGGGGGGGGACGTTTCAGCAATGATAACTGGTCATGTTACCCTTTAGTCCCCTTGACCTCCATCCTTGCTTCTCTTCCCCACTCCTTCCCTTCGCCTCAATCTTTCCTCGTCTTGCCTTAACACTGTACTGCTTCACAATGCTTTACTTTTTTCCTTCCCCTCATCCTCGCTTCCTTTTTACAGCTTTGTTATGCTGTGCTTTCCCTCTCGCTATCAATTTGTCCCCTCCTCTACCTTGACTTCTCTGCAAGCCTCATCACTATGCAGATTTAACTCGATCATAACAGCTCCACAGACAAACTTCCTTCTAAAACGTTCTACAGCACTAGCGCCACGTAGAAGCCCACGTTGCACTTAAGTCTCGTAGTACTGCAATGTGTTCCATAGACAGGGTTCGCAACCTCAAGTAATGTAATTGGCGAAAGACTCGTGACAACACCCCTCTCCGATATGCACGTATGCCACTTGACCTGTGGCCGTGGTTAATATGGTACAGAGGGGTGAGAGATGAGTTTGCAATGGGAATGGCTTTGTTGAGCTGGAAGATGTAAAATGTGATAAAAAATGGAAACAGTAGATCTATTCTTCCATATTTTCATAGAGAAAACGTCCACTTAATCGACTATTCATGATCTATCAATGCTGATCGAATATTGCTAACATTTCTCAACAATTTATCCACCAATAAAAACCCTTTGATGGGATATATACAATGTGCAGTTCCCACCACTTGACCCATCAGACATGAAACTTATATTTTGACACTTTATACCTGTATGCTATACAGGTGTTATACCTGTATAAATTTTGTTGTCATATAAAATACAGATATGTTAATATGGTTAATAATAGGTTAATATGTATGCATGTAATACTTCGTGCAGTCAAAATATAATCTGCCATCGGAAAAATGCAGAATAATCAGCCAGTACATGTGTGCCGACTCATGTGGTCTTCAATGTACCGAAGTGGTAAATAAGAGCAGGGGAAAGACTGTCCGGTATAAAACGTCTTCTGGTTGTGCCATTACGGTGAAATACGCTCAGTAAGTAATAATAAGTATCAAGCAAAAATGTTGCGCAATATTGTAAATTCTCATTAACTAGAATTTCATGGGACCGGCAGAAATTGCCCGAAAAAAAAATGAAATGCTCGATATTAAAAACCCTGTGTCTAATGCAGAGACGTGCTATAAATATATCCTTGATTACGTACAGGCTTGGTAAAAAAGCATCGATGCCGCAACTCGCTCAGCAGCTCGCTGCTATCGGGGCGCTAATGTTGCAACCACGCCCTGGTGCCCAATGCCGTCAAGCGTGCAAGTGGAGGAGGGTGTACTACATACCTTTACGTTTCTTTCTCTCCTTTTTAAGAAACGGGAGCAAGCATAATGCATCATGTTTCTTTTGTGCTCTTAGAATAGGGAAGTGCTGTGCAGCGCTGCTTATACCACTGGGATGCTCCAAGTAACACCATATCCATTAATCTCGGGTACGACCATGTTAGTCTGCAGCGAAACGCGAGTTAGCTCGTGCAAACAGCCGATAGAGCCACCGCAGGGCCAATGAAATGTTAAACGCAAGATATCGCCCCCTGAAAAATTGAAAACTGTGATAATGTACTTGATCTGAATCTAACTGAGGCCGCAAGCTTCATGCCTCAGTTAGCCGAAACGCTGCCGCCACGCCCCATGCTCCACAGTAGTAAAAAAAAAATGAGAGAGCTGACCAAGAGAAAACATGACGCAGCTGGTTTATTCTTCACTTTCTTATCAATGAGATCAAGAAAAGGAGAGGGATGCACACTTCATCGCACGCAGACACTCGGCGGCAGCGTGTGCCCAGGCACGATTGCGACGGCAGCGCCCCGATAGTAGCGAGCTGGTGCTCCTCCGTCAGGCGTTGTGATGTGGGAGGTTTCACATACACTGCACGACTACCACACACCAATGGCGCTTAAGAATAATTTTTAGGGTCGAAGCTCTTAAGAGTAACTCGTCTTCTCTGTAGTAGTCGCAATGTTTAGCCACGTCCACTTTATGAATTGCTCAATAGATGGCGCTGCGTGTATGTGTGCCTGAAAACGTCACTAGATGGCGTAAGCGGTTTTTGTATAGTTGATAGATGAATGGACAGACAGACGCCTCACCCCACTCACCACCATTCACTCTGTGGACATGCTGTGGTTTTTTATACAGCCGGCATCTTATCAACTGTCAATCACTATGCATATTTATTTGATCGTTCGATCCACGGCGTGAATCTCTTGAACAGCTTCCATAACGTTCGAGTTATGTGCACTGGCGCACAGACTTCCCGAGGTTAAAATAAAGCTACCCAGTGCTGCATCCGCTGTGAACGAAACCGTAGTCGCACCCCGCCGCAGCTATGACCTTAGTTGATAGCGACGCGGTCATGGATAGAGCCCATGTAGTTCGCATGCGCCGGTTCGGTTCGCAAATTTTTTCCCTCCTTCATCTACCACGTATGCGTCGCTTCATGCCTGGAGCGCTCCAAGAATCGTGTGAATTAACCGGGTTGTCAGCAAATGTGTCCAAATTACCGAAACTTCGGTGCCATCAAAGAGTGCATCTGCTTGCCGGGACCAGAGAAAAACGTCTGCATCATTCGATTTCCTCGAATAAACGGGAAGTGAATTAACGAGTTTTTATGGTACATGTCTGAATATAACTACACGCTAAATGAATAACAACATACTTGATGTGAAATGAGCAACAAAACGAATATGCGATACAAGTGTGCCAAAGAGAGCATATAGGGAATTATTCTGTCTAACTGTAGTGTGTAATTAGTGACGTAAGTTGAACTGAATGCAATGTCCAATTCTGTACCAATTGAGCGACGACGGAAGTCGCTTCCCCAGACACTTCATTGGGCGCTTCCCTGTCAACACTCGGCGCTTTGGTTGTGAGCGGCGCTGGCAAAACACTTACGCAGATGGGAGGCTAAGGACAAGTTCAAAAGACATTCAAGACACCTCTGTATCGCATCGAATATGTCTTCGTTCATTCTTGCCCCTAGCCTGCGCTACCATCACTTGTCATGCTACCATGTCAACAAGCCCGAATCACCATTCTCATCGACTTGTATGGATGACACGTACAGTACTCACGGAGTACAGTACTCAAGCGAAGCCACCTGGACAGGTATTGCAGCTCGTCGGTGTGGTGGAAGCAAGGTGTTGCACAGTGGTGTAGAGAGGGCGAGAACATCTACGGATCAAGATTGCCGCCTCTGGTCACAAACAAGTGGGCCTGACGTTAACCAATCAAAGTGGACGAATCGGCCATTCGTGATACATTACTCAAGTATAAAACGTGGTAGAAAACATGGACGGGAAAAGGACAAGTACATGCGTAGCCTATTAACTCAATGTTTATTTATCCTGCACTGCATATATTTATAACAAAAAGAAAAAAAAGGGAAGTTGCAATTTGAACAACTGATAAACAAGCGACCTGAAGCACCGAGGAGGAATATCCGATTCATGGCACACAAGTTTCCGGAATCAAGTGAATAATATAAAGGAACTGGCTATGCGGATTCAATTGTCGTTTTCATGGCAGAAAATATAAAAAAAGAAAAAAAAGCCGAGAAGTGGAGAGAGTGCTGATCGCAAGGATGAAAAAAAAAACAAACGCGACGAAATTACGGTGTTCCTTTACATGGACCAGCTATCACACCGAATGAAAAAACCTCAAACTTTCCCACCTTGTCAAAGTGACATGTGCAAACACTAAGCTTAAACGCTCCTGCTACGTCAGGCACAAATTCCATTTTGCCTAATGTACCATCAATGCAGTATGAGGATTCCGCTATCATGTGCGTGCTACATCAGGCAGACTGGGATGTGCTTGAATGAGCGCTTCTTGGATCAGCAAACGTGGTTATCATGCGCTGTTTGAAAAAAACTGCTGCATTGCATTGGCACAAAGATGATGACACACACAATATTATTGAAGCAGAGAGAATGGCTCGGGAACCTGAGAACGCGTGAGCAAACCATCGGTTGCACTGCTGAACAAAGAGCTTCATTATCTTGCAAATGGCGCATCTGTGTAGTGAATCTGATATTCTGCCTCGTGCTTCGGGTGCGTGACGTCGCTTGTTGAAATGCCAACCTTCCCGTTTTTTTTTGGTTGTCATGTATAAATGCAGTGCGGGATAGATAAACCTTCAGTTGATAGTCTGCGCTCGTACTTGTTCGTTTCCCGTCCGTGTTTTCTAGGACGTAGTATACTTGGATCATGTAGTTCACCATGTGCACACTGCCAGCTGGCGTTGATGATGATGATGCTCCTTGGATCATTGGCACCTACCCACTCTGGGGGAAGTGCCATTGATCCAAGGATCATCATCATAGCTGCTAGGCTGGTGCGCTTTCGCATGTAGACTGAAATGGCTGACCGGTGCCCACTACTGATCGTATGGCGCGAGAAGACGATGGCCTTGTTCTGCGGAATTGATTATGCGGCATGTGTGCTTTGCAAGTAAGAAACGCGATTCGACTAAGCAATTGCGCGTTGCGTGCGTTCGCAGACATGATAAACACAAACATCTGCACAAAAGCGTAGCGAGTTTATTTCGCGCTTTCTCTCACGACAAAAAAAAAAAAGAGTCCAGTCACAGGTTTGTCTTCGTGTAACATTGAAACAATGTATTTGCATTAGTGTACTTCTGACAACATGCATAGGCTGCCATTGAGGAAGGACGACGGAAACTGACGCAATCTTCTGTGGCCGATAGCCTCTACGAAAGTTTGACACGCAAAATGGCGGCAGAAGTGGCTGCACAGGTTTATACAACAAAATTCCAAGACATTGTTTTAATGTTGCACGAAGACAGGCCTGTGAGTACTTTTCTTGTCATGACAAAAATCCGAAAATGAACTTTCTATAATTTTGTGCTGGTGTTGTCATGTGTACGAACGCTCGTAAGCTCAATCACTCAGCTGGATCATTACTACAGAGCATGCGCACCGCATTGCAGAAAGGCGCAGGGCGCAAGCGTCGTCCACTCGCGCCGCATTATCGGTCAGCCATATCGGTCAGCATGCGAAAGTGCACCAGCCTAGCAGCGCTACGCAGGCAGTGTGTACAATCTCTTTTCGCACCATATCGCGGCGAGCGAAAAAGCAGTCATTGGTAATAGGGAACCGGTGGCAAGATTGCAAACGATCTCCCTTCGAAGCGATTGTCGGCTCTTGCGTAATCCCCTTGCAGGGGGATGGTGTTGCAACCTTATCAATGACTACCTGTTTTTTTGTTCACCACGAGATGACGCAAAAATATACTTTTGTTGCTGTCGCTGCCGCTTGAACGCGCTGCCAGCGGGCGCCGGAGCACGCAGGCCACGCGCTCCCGTGTTCCCTTTCATAACAATTGACGCTGAATTAAGCGCCACACTTGCCTATAGGCTATCGGTAATCTTTCTGTTATACCTCCATCATTCTAAATCTGAACAGTAAATTTTAAAGCCACTCGATTCTTGGCCAATCCCCCACAGTGGGTATGCGCCACTAACAATAGGAGAACGACAACAACAACAACAACGACGCTGAACGGTGAACTGCAGGTTGACTCGGTGACCAGAAACGGAAATCCTGATCCGTAGATGTTGTCTCCTCACTTTATACCACAATGCCACACCTTGCTTCCACGAACACCCACGACCTGCGGTACCTGCACAGGCGGCCACGCGTTCCGAGTGCCCTATCGAAATCCGCGAGTACTGTACGTACATGTGAATATTCATCGAAGTGGACAGAAAAGCACCAGTAGTCGTAGCTCAGCTGGTTGAGCATCAGACGTAGTCATAGCGTTTCTCCCAAGTCAGTGTAATGTGCCAAGAAAGGTGATTACCTTGATGCTGCTAGCTTGGTCGGCAGCGTAGAATACCGTATGGGTACTGTATGGCTTCCGATCCAAGGGACACGTGTCGTGGCCATCTCGACGTCGTGCTCTGCGGCAGGATTCGCACAGAGCGTGCGAGCACGGCAGCATCGCCGTCGTTTCGGGAACCACTCGGCACAGGCAACAGACGAGCGATGGCGGTAGGTCTTTCGTGAATCGAATGGGCCGCCAGTTCACTCCGGTGACATGATGGCCGCTGAGCATGTGCGTCCCCTTTGTATCAGGGTGTGGCATGGCGGCAGCTTCAGTCAGCTGGGGCTAAACTGAACCGAACGCGGCTTTAGCTGTGGGCAGTGGTCGTTTCCACCCGGCCTTATATATCAAGTCACTTCGGCAATCAGCAGCTCATATCTTCCTGGCAACTGCCTCTCCACCCCATTGTCACGTGATGGTACGCTGTGTCATTCCCGAGGACCGCTAGGGTTTCATAGCGGTGTCATTGCATTTGTGAGGGCGCGAAAGCTTGCGCGACTTATTAGAGCGTTTTGTTACGTGAACTCGCACGAGCGGACATGCCCGTGCATGTCACGTGGCTGCTGACAACGTCGGACAAGCTGTACGTTGCAACAAGTGGACATTGTGGGAGGGGCAAGGGATTATAAATTGGCAAAAAAAAGTCACCGCTTTGCCGCAAAGGCGAAGCAATGAACGTGATAGCAACAATTTGAAAGGTATGCGCAGGATGGAAAGCAGATCGAAAGTGCCCGCATATCTCACGCACAAATAACGCACGAAACGTACTCACAGGTACCGATGAACGCGAATAGGCGTGTCAGTTGTTACTTTGCTTTGTCTGAAAAGCGCACTCTTTTCGCAAACAGGGACTGTGGAACGATTGCAGAGACCTTTGTGTGCCCAGTAACTACAACAGAATCGTTCTGGTGAAAATCAAATGCCAGCCAAGACGTCCATGCTCCCCAACGCGATATAAGGGCGTGCTATTGAGCACCCAGGGGCTTCACGTTCCCCCCCCCCCCCCTCACTACCATGTTACGACGGGTTGTTCGACGTGCTGTTGTCCACAAGCCATGACAAAAGGACATTTTTTGGGAGGTTTGCCTTGAGTATAAATGAAGCCTAAGCTGGACAGTGTTGCATGCCTGAAATTCGGTTCTATTTGTTCAAAAACACGAGACGAATGAATTCAAAATACATTGGCGATTATTTGCTAGAAAACACACAGATCAACATATTAGGACAATACGCTGGTTTTATTAGAATATTGAGAGCCTCGAATTATTTTAACCTTGACTCAGTTATACACAATAAGAATGAGAACCGACAGACACGGTTCGGATCTTGCTGGTAGTGATGATGATGACAATTGCCTCTATGTATAGCTCACACCCACTCTGGAGGATCGGCCAAGAAACGAATACTCCGGTAGGAAAGACCACATTAATATTCTCTTTGCTAGTTCTCAATATTATTGCGTCTAACAAAAAAAAACGAGCCCTTAAATAAATTGGCACTTTTCAGCCTCAGTAGACAGTTTTTCCTAGGTCGCGTCTGAATGGGTTATTGGCCCATTAAACCACGAAAATTTTTTTTCCGTTGTGGGTATGAGGCACTAATGGAAAACACCTCAACGACAGCCTCATCAACATAAGCATCAGCATCGCAGTGGCAACCGTCAGCGAAAAGAAGGAACGGTCGCACGGCTGTCGAAATGGTCCTGTGGCTGATTGCCATCGCAGCGTTGGGCACCGCGATCTACTTTCGCGTCTACCAGCAGCCGTGGCTCTACTCTGCCCTGGGAATCGGTCATCGGCGCTGGGACGATGACTTCTACGGTGCACCGCCGCTGGTGGTACACAAGCGACACCCTCGTAAGTGACCACGATAGTTTTCTTCGCACGGCTGCATATCGCAGACCTAAACAATTATCTTGAAGCAAGCAGGAGTTCGAAAAAGGTGCATGGGAGAATAAAAAATGTGCTGGAATGGAATACTTTCCTCGGAAACGAAACCAACCATTCTCCAATGGCAAGATAAAAGGGTGTGTCTATTCTCCCGACAACCGGGATAATTGATAAAAAAAATTCTCCCGGCAGTCGCCTTCTATTGGCTCTCATAAGTCACGTGACTAACTGCCGGGACAAATTTTTGTATAATTCTCCCGGCAACTTAACCTAACCTATTCAACATAACCTAACGTAACCTAACCTAACCCAACGCACGCTGGGCGACGTCTGTCTAGTCTGTCCCGCAGCCTAACATAACCTAACGCACGCTAGGCTACGTATGCCCAGTCTGTCCCGCAGCAGCCAGTTTTTCCTGTTCTCGCGGCAGTTAGTCGGAAACCGCCGGGAGAAATGTTTTTGAACAATTGTCCCGGCTGCCGGGAGAATACACACTGCGAAGATAAAACGTCAGTGCGTAGCAAAAGAAAAGCAGTATTTTCCTCAGACGCCTTACCCGGTTGTAATTTGTTGGGAAAAGTACGCTCAACGTGTGCCTCCTTTCAGGGGCCCCTAGGCAAATTTCATAGGAGGTATACTTACTATAGTACTGTTACCGATGGGTTACTTTCACCGAGGAGAACGGTCTCGTATCTTATAATTTGGGTAGCCGCTTTATAATAAAGCGGGCAGCACTTGAAACCATCGCGGATTCACTTTTACGCGTAATGTGTTACGACAGCTTTTACTGCAACATTTTTAAATTCCTCCATAGGTTGAAGCAAACTTGTTCGGTCGGAACCTAAGAATACATGCTACGCCACCTGAGCGCTCTCACGCCTGTACCTCCATCTGTGAAAGAGTCACTCTAGATGGTTTTCCTTCTATCCGTTATACTTTTTAATCTGCTAATGTAACTTAGAATCAGAACCAACACACAATCAACCCAAGAAAAGTATATATAGGTGACGTCATTTGTAAATAGATAATTAAAGTGAACGAAAATGCAACTTTGCCACCAATGGGGACGGAATCTGCAACCTTCGATAGACGCAGTCCGTGATCTTTAGCTACTGCGGCGGTTCCGCTAACATCCACTTTATCTGCTATATTTGTCTATTTTAGACTTTGAAGTGTTGGTCTGTGCCACTCGTAGCCATGACGGTGAATGTGGGACTCAATTTTTATTTTACTTCCACCGTGTGGGTGCTGGTCCTATACGCTAGCTGGCGTCTGCAAGAGCACCTACGTGCAATACCTCTTTTTTTTTGTTTTTCAAAAAAGTGCGACACGCTTGACCTTCTTATTAGCCCCAATTATCATGTTCAAGCTTGTGCAATAAAAGCGTTAAGTCTGAACGCTTACCGCAAAAACAGAAACTGATTACTCCTGTAGTACTTATAGGCTTAGACATTTTAATACCGGTTGTAATAATAGAATATTTAGGCTTCATATTTGTGCACTGCTCAATATTCTTCAGCCCTCCTGCGTTATGCTAAATGCCGATTTTATTTTTTGCAACATTTTTGGATAAGTGTTCTGATTCATGACGGTTGCCCCAAGTAGCTATATATTCGGCATAGTTTTCTCTTTCCAAGGAGTGATTTTCATGGAACTGCTTTGCTAGTTGATGAATAAAAAATGATGACATCTTCAAAACAAATATTTTTTCTCATGATATTGAGGAAAAACAATTTTAGCGACCGTTTGCAGAAGTGGCGTGGGCCAATCATATGGCTTGAAATATCTAGGTGATCATTGACGCCTACGGACAGATTCAGCTATGGGAATAATACACTATTCAGATGAAATATCTGGGCCAGTTCATCGACGGTACTTCATGAGGCCTTGAGATACTGGTGCTTAACGAATATTCAGTGCTGAAAAGTTTGATCAGAACAAACGTAGTGATGTCGTGATTGATGGCTGGAAAGACATCATTCTCATCCCTTTCCAAATTACCTAGATCATGAACATGTAAAGTTTTTTAGAAATATATTTCAAGGTATAATACTCAGATCACCTGCGAAAGAAACCAACAGCCGGTGAAAGCAAGGCAATCATAGCGTCTTGATTCTTGAGTTAAAAAAGAAAGAAAAATGACAGAAAACAGTACGTGACCTGTCTTTTGTCATGTGTTCGTATTCCTTAACGAAAATATCAAGCGGTATGTCCTCACCAGCTCACCCAGCAACAAGTTCTTTCTTAACCAGGATAGTGTAGTGCTACGCAAATGCTTATGTGGAATATATTGCAGCAAGATGGCAAGCTGGGCCAGTTATCCTTGTCAGCCTCTTCTGTCTGTCTGTTTTATTAGTGCGCTTCAACAAAATTTTCAACTATAATCATAGGAGTTTCACGCAGCAGCAATATATACTAGTATATGCACTATGTAACACATTCAAATAAAAAAAAAAAACATAACGTACAATACGACGGAAAGTGATAAGGGAGATAGACAAGGTTATTCGCACTCGCTTGAACTTGCAACAAGCTTCAATTGTAGTCACCAAAGTCGTCTAAGTACAAATAAGTTAACTGTACCCTCGATATCACAGTTTACTCTTATAGAATGAAGTCCTTACGGCTGGTATTACGAATTCACTTCTTCTACCTTTGCCAATATTTTTCTCGTGGTATTGAGTTAGCAGCACGAAGCCATTTTCCATCCAGCTTGTGCACTAAAATGTGCCCCACCCAGATTCAGAGGGCACACGCGGACTTAAAAGTCCTTTCTCATTCGGAAAGCTACACGGCCGGTGAAAAAAAATGAAAACGCAAGCGAAGCCTCAATTCACGCATGTTGCTCGGTGGTTAGTCAAGGTGGAGATCTGCACAGGTTCCGAGGGTAGCCCGAAAGTCTAAACGTGGCCCAGCACGATGCTGGGTTCAGGTAGGCTGACGTATTCTAATCTCCTCTCGGGCCTGACCAGGCTCGGACTGCTTAATTTCTTTTTTTTCTTATTCAGCGTGCTGAGTCAGGTTCAATGGCCGTTCCAAGACCAAAATGTCGATGCTGTAGCGGAATACTTGCGATGAACATGCAAAATGAGCTCTAAGATTATCTCTCTGTGAAATCTTCACCCTATCCTTCAACGGAGGTACTAAACTTTTGGAACAACAAGCAGCCCGAATACCAAGGTTTTCCAATGCACGAGAAAACTATATTAGCCATTTCAGCTAGCAGTGTGAGCAGAAAACAGAACTTCAGAACGTCGTAATATATGATGCAGGAACCCCACACTTCAATAAAGCCTGAATCATTTGATAGCTTGTTATTTTGACCCGATATCTTGGATTCTTTCTATATAGTGACTGTCACATGTCTTTTGCTTATGTTTTGCTTTGATATGTTAAATAAACTGCCGCCTTCTCGCAAAGCGATATCTTGTCACCACAGCAGGCATACATACTGTGGGGCCACGCCGTGCTGGGCCCGGTTTTCAGTGTTTATTAATATAATATCTGGCG